CCAATAATTACCTCTTGCAATATTGTAAGAGTAATAACAATTCTGACAAATAAATTAATTCATATTGAGAGTCACGTGTTGGAACAGTCAAAATGTATTTGCATAATTACATACAGCATGTACCCGTGAATGCTGTTAAAGGCGACACACACATTCTCAGTTCATACAAGTCACTTGTCATGCCGGGCAGAGGGTTTCACAATCTGGCTTATTCTGTTATTTAAGTCCCACGCATAAAATACACAAGAATTTAGTTACCCCGTCTTCCTTGATGAAGTACGCTTCTGTTCAACCTTCCATATATAACCTCTTATAAACCCTAGGATCGGTTACTCCAAGCTTTGATGGTTCCCCTAAAGACTCGACAGCACGTTTTTCCTCGCCCATCCTAACGCGATTATCAGTCATATCATGTAGACTGGTTCCCTGAGGTTAAAGCTGAGTACACATGACAAAGACATAAGAATCTTTGCTTGTTCGTTACATCTGCCCACTTACAGTAAAACAGCAAACGCACGTGTGTTCTCCATCACAAGAACTACAACGCCCATATTTTCCTGGTCTTGTTTAACAATATTTTTTATGACCGCGTGAGTTACAACTTAACGCCTCATCAGCAATATTGAGTTTTATATAACACATAAATATTGCTTGTAGTTAATCACTACTGTTTTGATTTACATCTACACACTCAATGATGAAGTAAAGAAATTTGAACTTTTTGGATGTTTATTGTATTTATGAGACGAATTCGTGTAACCGGTATTCAAATGATGACAACTATAACAGGGAATGGTCGGGACTGACATGTACTTCGAGTTATGCATAATGTTCGAGACACCGGCATTCGACTTATCGGGATTTGACTGTATCAAATTGGAGGTTTGCATATTTTTTAGATTCCTTTTGTTACAAATCCAAATCCGTCCCAGATCATGCAACAATAAATAGAAACTATAATTGATGACGTCATAAAGGCCATATATTTGAAAATTTGAATTACAAAGAAAATGTATTTGTGTTAGTCTATGTACTGTGATTAATGTATAAAATGATTTACAAAGGATTTCAATGAGATGAAAGTTAATAATATGACACATGCGTACGTTACAGTAAATCACTGCCATACTCCTACAAACCATGCTTGTTATATAAGACGTGTAACTGTCAAAGATGGGTTAAACCAGGGAGACTATATAAGGGGGTGTTGTAGAGTATCCCTGGTTAAACAGTAAACACACAAAACTTAACGGAGTTCAGATATTGAATAGTGTCCGACTGTGTGCTATAGACAAAACTAAAGATGTCTCTAAATGAATATCATATAGCATATTTTTAAGATTACGTTCATGTTTGACAATTTATCTCCGCTGTACATGATTCTACCCATATAATGCTGGGATGTAGGATAGGTGGGTAGCCTAACGCTGAAGATCTGGCTTCGATTCCCCACATGGGTACAATGTGTGAAGCCCGTTTCTGGTGTCCCCGACCGTGATATAGCTGAAATATTGCTAAAGGCGGCGTAAAACCATACTCACTCATCCATATTTGTATCATTGTAATATCCATTCTTAAGGGTATAAATAGTAAAATTACAGTCAGAATATCGTGTATACATTGATTTACGCCAACAACTTTTAACGAACTGATTTGTCCTCGACAGGGAGCGCCCAAATGAACTGCTGGTACCACCATCGCCCAGATGAGGTCTTTGTCTAATTTCTCCATGTCAGATCTCAATTCTCATCTCGCACACACGCCATCTCGTTATCTAATCTACACGTGCCTGGAGCCCTTTGTAGGAAGGTAAACACAAACTTGCACTAACAAGGTGGACCCGGACACTTGGGTAACTAAAGGTTCCTGTTCGACGCTGGCAAATACAAACCATCTTAATAGATGCGGAACAATAGCAAGCCTAATGTCTGGATGACGCCCCGACTTGTTTAGTGTGCTGAGCAGATGCTTACGGTGTCATCATTAACTATGGAGGGGCCTCCTGTTTAAGGTCCTACGCTGGTAGAATGTCAGATAACTGAAGGTGTGGATTTTGATTTGTGTATAGACGTCTAGATGTAAGGGTTCATTTGTGTGTCCTCAGTCTTGAGGACATTGAACACACAACGGGTTGTGAAAAGAGGCGTCCCTGTCACGGCGCTGTCGCTGGATCTTCAGAGTGTATCTCGCTAACAAGATAACATTACATCATAATGAGTGAGTGAGTTTAGTTTTAAGCCATAGTTTCCTGCTATATGTCGGCGGTCTGTAAATAATCGAGTCTGGACCAGACAATCCAGTGTTCAACAGCATGAGCATCGAACTACGCAGTTGGGATACGATGACATGTGTCAACCAAGTCAGCGAGCCTGACCACCCGATCCCGTTAGTCGCCTCTTACGACAAGCATGGGTTTACTGAAGATCAATTGTAACGGATCTTCACGGGAGACAAGCATGGGTTATTGAAGATCAATTTTAACCCGGATCTTCAAGGGTTCATTACATCATAAACGACTGATCTCTATACAAACCACATGTTTGCGTCACTGAGACAATAACTGATGTAAATGTAACACATTTGAAATAATTTGCTCTTGCTAACAAGCTGACATTCCATCTTAAGATACTAATCTCTTACAAATAATGTTTGTGCCATTTATAAAATAAATGATTAAATGGAAGAACATTCGAGGACATATCAACATTTTGGCATTGTCATTAAGGCATATCCTAGTTAAATTATAAATTGTCGTCGAGATGAAGAACCTAAAACGTCAGACAGATATTCAGCTACAGTGGGTTTGAAATATAGTTCAAGGTCATCAACCTCCTGGTTAGAATTGTTCTTCAGCAAACCACACTTGTAGCAAGAGGTGACAAACGGGATCAGGTGGTCAGGCTGTCTGACTTGGTTGAAGTATAACAGTTATCCAAACTGCGAAGAAAGATGTTATGATGTCAATCACAGGATTGCAACAATGCCTTCATACCAAATGAGATTTAGGATGGGGCATTCGGCAAGAAGTAGGCATCCCCACGGGAGGGAACTGCGCGCCCTTTCTTGCTGATCTGTCTCTTTAATTTATGCATATGAACGAGAGTACTCATTTGCCAAGTCGAGCAGGTAATGTTGGCAATGGTGAACTTAGGCTGTTGTCCTATACAGATAATCTGATCATTCAGTCATGGCCCAACAACCAATCACCTGCTGCTGATTTATACATCCATCCATCCACCGATCCATTCATCCATCCATCCAAACATACAGACAAAAATACATGCATATATACATCCAAAGATACCTTCATCCATCATCCATCCCTCTATCCATCCATCCATCCATCCAAACATACATACACATACACACACATATATACATATATCGATACACATACATACATACATACATACATACATACATACATACATACATACATACATACATACATACATACATACATACATACATACATACATACACATACATACATACATACATACATACATACATACATACATACATACATACATACACACACACACACTCATACATACATACATACATACATACATACATACATACATACATACATACATACATACATACATACATACATACATACATACATACATACATACATACATACATACATACATACATACATACATACATACATACATTACGACTGAGCACAGTAAGAATATGTTACAGCGCCACTTATATTACGTTATGAGAGATGGTAAAAAAAATACAAGTAGGCATCTATCCATATCAAATGTGTTCTCTACGTTGTACTATTAAAAAGCAGGTTTCGGAAGTAAGATAGAACTCGGTTTTGAAAAGGACATAACATTTCGTAGTTTGACAATATTAAGATAGTTGGGCACTTCAGCCGTATCATTTGTGAAAAGAGCTATAACATCAAAACAATAAACATCTTTAAAAAATCTGTAGACACGGAGCTTACATCTACTAGTAATATCATTATAATTCCATAAACGTACTTGACAAGTTTTAACATAGTTTTTCATTAGGGAATCTTGCATATTTGCAAATTTGGTATTTAAACGAGTGGTGATACTTGAAATATGCTACATATTTAGGTCTGCCAATTGTGGTGAAAAACGGTAAATCCATTTTTTTACAATTAGCAGCAAGACTTTTCGACCAGAAGAAAAGGAACAATGCATATTTCTAAAACGACACACCTGTCTAACTATACATGACTATTGTCGGACAGAGTAACAGAAACCATCAACCAGATTGTATGGTGGAGGGGGGGATTTCAACCATCAAACAGTCAACGTTCTCTTTGTGTCGTGTAATATCAGCATCTCCCACTTTTGGTGTTTACATTTCACAACCTTAGAGGTTCCCCAGGTATGTCTCTCCGGAGATTTCGGAGAGCGTGATATGACTGCTGTTCAAAGTTGTTTATGGTTGTAGCGATCTGTGCTTTGATGGAGCTTCATACAGGTTTTCCGGTAGGTCCGTGGAGGGTATTTTCATATCTGACGCATGGTTTACAAAATGATGCCCAATTGTTTTTTTAACCATAGTTTTCGAGTTTGAAACATCTGGAACTGATTATATTCAAAATGGGAAGGTAGCTTATATTTTCAATTGCTATAATAGTCACTCTAAGAATATGTGGTTTGTCTTACTTTCAGGAACCGTTTGTAGGTACAAGCTCCATTTGTATGGAGAGCCGTTCACATACCGAGTTGCTTTGTCGAAATGTACATACACTGTCAACATATTTCAAAATATTCCAGTCGGTACTTTAATGATACTTCCGACGCTTTTACATTCATTTTGTATCTAATACAAACATATATTTCAGATATACCGCCGAACTAATCTAACTATTTTATGAGGTAGTTCAAACGCTGTTACACCTTTGGGGCATAACATAACAAAATATATCAAACGGGTTCACAGAACAACCATCACACTAACTATTGTAAATACATCTAAAAGCCAAATTGTTCACTCACCTGTTATCAGTAGAACAGCGTTAAGCATAAACACCTTCATGTCGGCAATCTTCAAAGAGAACACCTGCCAGGTAAGTATAGGTATAACCGGACGCTGCAGGTAAATATCACTTTGTAAGAAAGGTACGGTATATGCAGAGTAATATTGAGGTGTAAAACATCGACGGGTGGACTGAGAAGCGACAGCAGTGAGACAACTACCTGCACAAACCACACATGTAGGGTGCGCAGTGAACTCTCCTCCGGGTATCAAAGGCTGTTTCCGTCTACATTGAAACCCCCGGCTCGTGTCGGGCGATGGGCCCACTACATTGTATTTACATGGGCTTTTACCTTGTTTGAGAAGAGTTAGGGCGGAAAACTAGTCGTGGACGATTTCACGTCTCGTGGTATTTCACCTGCTCTCTTCCGAGCTTTGGGTGAAGATGGGAATTTGATGTGAGGAGAGGATTATTGGGGTTATTGTTTACATGGGTACCTCCTGATTGTGGACTGACTTACAGGGTGACCTTTGGGTGTCTTATACGGGTGTTTTTAAAAGGGGAAGAGACTCGGAGTGACAGTCCAAGACAGTTTGATTTAAGTCATTCAAACACTGGTATGTTTGACGGCAAACTCGTGTTTTATATCACTTTAACATTTATCTATTGGTTTAATTATCCACTGCATCAGGTACATCCAGGCTTGGGGTGTGTTTACAGATCTGACGCAACAGTCACAAAACTGATGTCTGGTACAATTCCCTATGTTGACTTGTGTCATATGTTTGTCATGCGACATTTGACTTGCCTTTCCGTGTGTTTGTGACGGCAGGAACTGATGGGACTGGATAAGCTACCTTTTCGTGAACACCTGGTATCATCCCTATTTGAAAGTGATTCATCCCCTTTTAATAGTGATTCATAAGCATCGTTCTGATGCATATGGATGGATCGTACTGTTGGCTATGCCTTTCAGTAGAGATTTCTATCCATAAGAAAGTCGATTGTACAATTCCGCCTATATCACAAGCATCCGTTTCTGAATCACTGTCAAAATAGTAATGACACCAGGTGTTGATGAAAAGGTCTGCAAATGATCACAATACATTGTCTAGTGAGTGAGTGAGTTCAGTTTTCACGCCGCACTCAGCAATATTTCAGCTATATGGCGGCGGTCTGTGAATAATCGAGCCTGGACCAGACAATCCAGTGATCAACAACATGACATCGATCTACGCAATTGGGATGCGATGACATGTGTCAACCATGTCAGAGAGCCTGACCACCAGATCCTGTTAGTCGCCTCTTACGACATGGTTTACTGAAGATCAATTGTATCCCGGATCTTCACGGGTCACGTATATACTGAACTTAAGCACATATTTATTAAGTGTAACCTTATCAAGTGTCTGTTGCTGGTTGCATTGAGCTGATTAAAACGTTTTTATAGTTTAAGAATAGGTATAGGTCACACACAAAAAAGAAGCGTGTTTTTGTACCGTACTGCATGCAAATATAGCTCTTTAGTCTTCATTTTGAATTTAAAACACCTTGTCTGTTTGTTGACCTAATGACTATAAAACCTCGTAATTGTTTTAATCATCACAGAAACAATCCCCGCTTTTCAAACGGGGGTCATATTCACGGCACATAGTCAAAGACAAACATTAGACTATTACGTACACAGTACGGTGCTTTCATCAGATCACGGTGGAATTTCAGTCCACTTTGTGAGGCCATTCCGGTCATTATGTGACGAGTGAAGAGTCGACAGCTTCACCCAGTGCCTCCATGTTGACTAGCGGCTGTGTTGGGGGCCGGTCTCATTCTGCCCTTTGTTCGAGAGAGGATGTATTCAAAGCCTCAGCTGGTGTAGGTCACCAGGTTCATAGTCAAATGAACCCACAAATACTCAGTCGTTTACTACTTACAGTTTACCAAGGACCACTACTTTAAAGGTAATACGACGATCTGTTGAAATAGCCAAATATTACAAGACATGGTTAATGGAGAGAAATCCTTAAGCATGGTTCACGCAATGCCAACAAATGAGTGAGTTTAGTTTTACACTGCTTTTAGCAATAGTCCAGAGATATCACGGCAGGGGACACCAGAAATGGGCTTCACAGATTGTACCCATGTAGGGAATCGAACCCGGGTCTGGCGTGACGAGCGAACGCCTTAACCACTAGGCTACCCCACCACCCTCCAACAAAATACCAGTAATCAGTCAAACCATAAGTGATCGTTGAATCGCCTGACACCTGTTTGCATTCAGGCCATGCTTCGCGTCTGATTCAACTAACGGGATCGGGTGTTCAGGATTGCATTCTAGGCAGAAGCAAGGTCATTGCATTCCAGTAGATCGATGATTATGGTGTCACTCCCTGAACTGTCTTATCCTGACTCGAATATATACAGAGCAGTATTTTCATATGTGTTCTCCATTTTGTTGTCATTGTTGCGCGCACACACTTGTACAAAGCATTCAGGAAGCATTATTATGTACTTTCCTTAAATTAAATTCTGCCAGTTATTTCTGCAGGAGAAATAATTCTGCCAGAAACTTCTGCTGTGATGGAGTTTGTGAACATGAGAACAGATTGGCACCTTTTCCATAATCATCTCATACAGGCGGCACTTACAGGGATCACTCACACAGGCGACACTTACAGGGATCACTCACACAGGCGGCACTTACAGGGATCACTCACACAGACAGGCAGGGACACTTACAGGCACTTACAGGGATAACTCACACAGGCGGCACTTACAGGGATAACTCACACAGGCGACACTTACAGGGATCACTCACACAGGCGGCACTTACAGGGATAACTCACACAGGCGACACTTACAGGGATCACTCACACAGGCGGCACTTACAGGGATAACTCACACAGGCGACACTTACAGGGATAACTCACACAGGCGACACTTACAGGGATAACTCACGACAGACGACATTCACTAACAGGGATCGGGGATCACACACAGGCGACACTTACAGGGATAACTCACACAGGCGACACTTACAGGGATCACTCACACAGGCGACACTTACAGGGATAACTCACACAGGCGACACTTACAGGGATAACTCACACAGGCGACACTTACAGGGATAACTCACACAGGCGACACTTACAGGGATAACTCACACAGGCGACACTTACAGGGATAACTCACACAGGCGACACTTACAGGGATAACTCACACAGGCGACACTTACAGGGATAACTCAAACAGACGACAATTACAGTGATGACTCACTCAGACGACACTTACAGTGATGACTCACACAGACGACACTTACAGGGATGACTCACACAGACGACACTAACAGGGATCACACACACAGACGACACTTACAGGGATAACTCACACAGGCGACACTTACAGGGATCACTCACACAGGCGACACTTACAGGGATCACTCACACAGGCGACACTTACAGGGATAACTCACACAGGCGACACTTACAGGGATAACTCACACAGACGACACCTACAGAGATCACTCACACAGGCGATACTTACAGGGATCACTCACACAGACGACACTTACAGGGATAACTCAAACAGACGGCAATTACAGTGATGACTCACTCAGACGACACTTACAGTGATGACTCACACAGACGACACTTACAGGGATGACTCACACAGACGACACTAACAGAGATCACACACACAGACGACACTTACAGGGATGACTCACACAGGCGACACTTACAGGGATCACTCACACAGACGACACTTACAGGGATCACTCCACACAGGCGACACGCACAGGGATAACTCACACAGGCGGCACTTACAGGGATCACTCACACAGACGACACTTACAGGATAACTCACACAGGTGACACTTACGGTGATGACTCACACAGGCGACACTTACAGGGATGACTCACACAGGCGACACTTACAGTGATAACTCACACAGGCGGCACCTTACGGTGATGACTCACACAGACGAAAATTACAGGGATAACTCACACAGGCGGCACTTACAGGGGATCACTCCACACAGACGACACCTACAGGGATAACTCACACAGACGACACTTACAGAGATCCACTCACACAGGCGATACTTACAGGGATCACTCACACAGACGACACACTTACAGGGATGACTCCACACAGGCGACACTTACAGCGATAACTCACACAGGCGACACTTACAGGGATAACTCACACAGACGACACTTACGGTGATAACTCACACAGGCGACACTTACAGTGATGATTCACACAGACGACACTGACGGTGATGACTCAAACAGACGAAAATTACAGGGATAACTCACACAGACGACACTTACAGGGATAACTCACACAGACGAGCACCTACAGAGATCCTCACTCACACAGGCGATACTTACAGGGATCACTCACACAGACACACTTACAGGGATCACACTCACACAGGCGACACTTAGGGATAACTCACACAGACGACAACTACAGAGATCACTCACACAGGCGACACTTACAGTGATGACTCACACAGGCGACACTTACAGGGATGACTTACACAGGCGACATTTACAGGGATCACTCACACAGACGACACTTTACAGGGATAACTCACACTGTGACAGGCGACACTTACAGGGATCACTCACACAGACGACACTTACAGGGATGACTTACACAGGTGACTCTTAGAGGTATAGCTCACACAGACGACACTTACAGCGATCACCACACAGACGACACTTACAGGGATAACTCACACAGGCGACACTTACAGGGATCACTCACACAGGCGACACTTACAGGGATCACTCACACAGAGGACACTTACAGGGATGACTTACACAGGCGACACTTACAGGGATCACTGGACACAGACGACGCTTACAGGGATAGCTCATACAGGCGACACTTACAGGCATCATTCACACAGGCGACACTTTCAGGGATAACTCACACAGAAGCGGCACTTAGACAGGGATCACCAACACAGGCGACACTTACAGGGATAACTCACACAGGCGACACTTACAGGGATAACTCACACAGGTGACACTTACAGGGATCACTCACACAGACAACACTTACTGGGAAAACTCACACAGGCGACACTTACAGGGATCACTCACACAGAAGACACTTACAGGGATAACTCCACACAGGCAGCACTTACAGGGATAACTCACACACGCGACACTTATAGGGATCACTAACACAGACAACACTTACAGGGATAACTCACACAGGTGACACTTACAGGGATAACTCACACAGACGACACTTACAGTGATGACTCACACATACGACACTTACAGGGATGACTCCA